GTTTAATTTGCTTGTTTGTGTGTGATTTTTGGATTCTGTGGTGTAAATTTGTGTTTGTCCTGTAATTTTAAGTCTATTTTTTATACTTTGACGACTATTTGTACATTTTATCTCAATTCAGCTTTGTGCTGCGATGATATTTTGATTTTGATTTTCTGAAATAAAGATACCTTGATATATATATATACATACATATATATATATATATATATATATAACTATATATATACAAAATAGTGAGGTTCCACGTGTGTTTCGGTATGATAACAAAAGAATATAGGAAACGAATACCATGTATAGACTTCAGAAACACTTTATTGGAGAAAACCAATATTTCGACCTATCCTCAGGTCTTTATCAAGGTACATGAAAAAACTAGCAAAAAGTGGACACAAATAACCACTGTAGTGTGAGGAGTTAAAGAATAACAATGCGGATTATAATGAGAGTAATTAAAATCGGGTAGGCCTATACATTGATAGTAAGAAACAGTTTGTAATGAGAACGGAGATTAATAGTCGTTCCCACATTATGCCGACAGTATAATAAACAGACTATAGTATATTGACCAAAATTCCAAATAAAAACAGGAAATAGAGAAACATAGCAAAACTTTTAGGCCACAATGGACGCAAGTATGTAAAATAATAAATATATAATGTTAAGAGCGAGGTAAATAAATAAAATAGTCAAAATGAATCAATGTTATGAAAAAGTATAATAAAAATGAGTGTAGCATAGCTACATCAAGAAGGTACGGTAGGAAATAAGTAAACAACACGTTATAATAAAACCCGTTGATATAAAAATACACGAATGAATAAAAAAAAAAAGAATAAAAATATGTCTAGGTCAAAATCGCAAATAGGAATGAGTGATCAAAAGCAAAAACCAAATAATAACAATGAAAATCAAACAGAAACCGGGAAATGACAAAAATAAACAGCATGTGTAAAATAATGTAATAATATAATAAACGGTGATACAATGATGTTAGTGGTGGCTGAATGTGTAATCACTAATGATCCCGAGATCTCTGTTGAGGCCAAAGAGGTGAGTTTTGTATTTGAGAATATATTTGAGTTCATTAATTTTTCTGTCTGAATGAGACTTGAAATTACCGGCGTTGATACTATGGTTAGGGGCATTGAAATGCTCAGCAACAGGGAATCCGGGGAGATTTTTGCGGATGGAGGACTTGTGGTTATTAATTCTAGTACGAAATTTAGTGCTGGTCTCGCCTATATAATGAACAGTGGGGCAAATATTGCAGGTAATTAAGTAAATAACATTAGAAGAAACGTAGTTGAAAGGAGGTTGATGAATGGTATGTTTGCTATTAGGAATTTCAATGTTGCTGTCAGTAATGAGTGAAGTGCATAACATACAACGAGGTTTATTACATTTAAGGTTACAGTGGTTAAGGTTATCATTAATATTAAAAGAAGAAAGAAGAGATTTAAGGTTGCTGGGTTAGCGATTGGCAAGGAGAGGAAGACAGTCCAATAAGGTGTTAGTGGATTCGTTCTGTTGAAGTATGGAGAAATCTTTCCTAGCGGTGTTAGTGAGAACGGACACTTTCAACTGCGATTCTTCTAATGTTATTTACTTAACTAACTGCAATATTTGCCCCAATAATGTACCTTGATAAAGACCTGAGGATAGGTCGAAATATTGGTTTTCTCCAATAAAGTGTTTCTGAAGTCTATACATGGTATTCGTTTCCTATAATATATTATACATCAGTATAACTAAAAGAAATTTAAAATTAACATCTTTTGTTGATTTCAGGTATAGATGATTTCCTAAGGCAATGGTGTGGAGGTATATAATAAAAATATTATATGGCGTACCTTATTATTTGGCTGCCATTGAGTTGATTTTTCTGAAACGTGACATCAACGTTGAATCCGTCTTTGCAGAAAGTGTTTTCTAATGTTATTTCGTAGTTGCAATTTTCTAAACGAAACCTGGTGTAGAAGTGGTATGACGCAGTGGGAACGGTTTCGTTTCAATCCATCATTGAGCATTTTTGTTTGTGTCATAGAGCAATTGACTTTATCTGCATTGCTTCCCTCCACTCAGAGTATAAGTGGGTACCTGGTAGAGTTAAAATGTCAAAATGCGCTGATTAGCTGCTGCAACGTTATGGAATACTCTTCCCCGGGAAGCTGAGTTTGTGTTCCATAGGTGTTTAATCCTATGACCGGTGCAATGATAATGCAAGCGCATACATTATTAAAAATATTACTCGTCGTCTCAATGAAAGAGATTATGTATTGATGTATTGCTTAATCCAGGGGTGGGGGGCATAACGATAGAGGGCCAAATTGAATGTTCTATTTCACACTGGTGGGGGTGGGGTGCGCCCAAAAATTTGACGTTTCGAGAAATACTCTCAAGCCGAGCTTCTATACCGCTTTAATGATAATAATAATAATAACAACAACAACAACAATAATAATAATAATAATAATTAATAATAATAATAATAATAATAAAGAACACGCATTTCTGATACACGCAAGGTATCAAATTACCCGATAATGCATTAAAATAGCGCACTCAAAACGACATAAATTCTTTCCTCTTTATTCTACGAAAAACTACGGAGCCCCTAAAGAGACATGGTTAAAGAAAATATTAAACTATTTAAATATTATTTCGTTCCCTCGAAATAGTTTAATATTTTCTTAATTCTAATATTATTAAAATAATAATAATAATAATAATAATAATAATATTATTATTATTATTATTATTATTATTATTAATTTTTAATATTATTTTCTAATTCTCATCAAAAAAGTTTCTCAACATAAACTGACGCTTGTGGCGCATTCCGAAATGCGCTAATACTACGAAAAATCCATAAATTAGAGACTTGTGGCAAGTCTAACTAATATGTAGAAAATACATAGAATTTTTGTTTCTCCCCGACGAATTGTGCTTTTTCTCCTCGACTGGGGGGGGGGGCAGCTCTCCCCGACGGGAGGGGGCTATAGTGTTAGATGTACATTACTCTGATGGAATGGCCACATTAGACCAGGAGCCCAGGAGTGTCAGCATAGCTGGAAAGTTAACCAATTTTTGTGTATATAGTAATGTTCTATGTGCCTGTCTGGGTAGGAAAATGGGCATCTGCCTGTCCCATTGTGGTGGGTGTGGTCAAGAGGGGCATAAAAAGGGCCCCAAAAATTGAGCTAGATCAACTTGTGAATTAACCCAATGAAACCTATCAGAATATATTCGGCATAGTTCAAGATAACATGAATGGTCAATGCCAGACATTTCCAATGGTGGGTGGTGGGTGCCAGACGCAAAAAACCGGTACCCCAAAATTAATCTAGATCAGCTTGTGAGTTAACCTGATGAAACGTACAGAAAAATGTTGGGCATAGTACCAGGTATCAGGAATGGTCACCACCAGACATTTTTAATGGTGGGGTATACCTGCCAGACACCCCCAAATACCCCGCCCAAAAAATTGACCTAAATCAGCTTTTGAGTTAACCCGATAAAACCTACTAGAAAATGTTCGGCATAGTACCAGGTATCAGAAATGGCCACTGCAAGACATTTTTAATGGTGGGGTGTACCTGCCAGACACCCCCTTATAGCCTGCCCCCGAAAATTGACCTAGATCAGCTTGTGAGTTAACCCGATAAAACCTACAACGCATTGCAAAATATGGGCATAGCACCAGGTATCACGAATGGCCACTGCCAGACATTTTTGGTAGTGTGGTGTATCTACCAGACATCCTCGTATATACCACCCCCCTCCCCCGAAAAAAAATTTTTTTAAATGATCAAGATTATTTAGTGAGAATGTTATATATGTAACATGAGCGACCACAGTGACAGTCAAACATTTGTGGCGGAGTTACCCGATGAAACATATTGGAAAATGTTTAGCATAGTACCAGTGGCCACTGCCGAACATTTATAGTGGTGGGGTGTAAACACCAGACATCCCCTTATTCCCCACCACCAGAATTGACCTAGATTAGGTAATGGGTTAACCTGATGAAACTTACTGTAAAATTTCATCGTAGTCCAAGTTATTATGAATGGCCACCGCCAGACAATTCTGATGGAGGGGTGTGTCTGCCAGACACCCCCTTATTCCCCGCCCCAAAAATTAACCTAGATTACCTAGTATTATCTAGTAAGTTAACGTGATGAAAGTAACTGTGAAGTGTTCGGCATTGTGGTGGGCAAAGTGATAGAAAACCCCTAGTCTTTTACGGCCCGACACTGATCACCTGTAAAAAGTAATATTAAAATTGAGAATCAAATGACATAAAAGCACTGCATGAAGGTTTTTGGAAGCACACTTGAAACATCAAATCTAGGTTTCGGCCCTCTGTGTTAAATCGAAAATTCACTTTGGCCCTCCGATTGATTTTTATGCCCACCCCTACTCTAAATAAGAGTCTATTATACTGCAAGGATGGAAGTGTGGTTTAATAAGGGTGGGTGGAGAGCCATGAAATTAGCTTCAGACTGGATGGAAAACTTCAAGTACTAATACTATATAGTAATTATATAATCTTTTATTATTTTTAGTAATCAATATTACAACAGTTTAACAATGAGATTCTATACAGGATTTAAAATTTATAAATGCCCAATATTCAGTAGAGTAGATTTCCCTACAATTAAAAATCGTAATGGTACTGGGTTTAGGAGTTCGTGCTTCAACGAACAGGTTATTCCATCCGTAGAAGCCTTTTGATGAAGAAAGTGTACCTTTTTAGGAAAGGTTGCCTAAGTTAAAACTCACTCGGGCTATATGAAATTAATTATAAGCTTGAATTGATAATCTTATTGTAAGGAATACTACAGTAACTTCACGTTTAATTTTAATTACAAGTTGAATTATATGAAATTCAAATTAAATGTCGTAAGTATGTTTGCCTATTTGCCTAATTTGGTTTAGAAAAATCTAAACTTTTTTATTACAGGAATGTTAAACTTGCCTTATTTGCTCACTTGGTAGTGCTTAATAGATTCATTTTGAATTGGTGCTATATAAGTATTTGTTATGTACCAATTATTAGTATTATCTAATTAGTATCATATTACTAATTTGATTAAAGACCAAAGTTTGTGATGATTTACCATCCACACTCGTGCACAGTTGAATATATAGTAGCACCATTCTTTTAGGTGCCTTAACATTTTTGAAGACATTTTTTTGAGTTCATTGAACATATGACTATACTTTCAGCGTAAGAAAAATAAAGCAATTAACTTACTCAAAATTCAAAGTTACACCCTATATTGGAAAAATGACTATACTGTATGTATTGGGGTATTAGAGGGTTACAGTAACTCATGAGATAATCTAGCTCTATTGTGGGGGAATGGTATTAAAGGGGGAGGGGTATGTGTGGCGGGTACATCCTACAACCAAAAATGTCTGGCAGTGGCCATTTATGATACCTGGGACAATGCCGAACATTTTACAGTAACTTCATCAGGTTAACTCACTAGATAATCTAGATCAATTTTTGGGGGACAAGGAGTATCACATTTTCTTTTTTATTTAATTTCTTTGTAAGATACCAGCAAGATAGTCAAAATTGGATTTTACAGTACTTGTTAAATATGTGAAAGATGTAGACATTCCTTATTTTTTGTCATGTATTGACTTATTTTAGTACCGGTAACATGGTCACTTTATATATATATATTATTCCGTTATATTTAGTGAACATACACCTATGTATCAGCCGTACTCACTGAAGTGGTACGTTCTACTTAACTAAATACTGAATATTACTCTGCTCCTTCCACTTTACTGTACTAACAAAGAATTCTCACGTGTGCTGCTTTTGTAGTGTGACTAGTCCTCGTACAAAATTTTGTAGATTCGTGTTAGTGTAAAAATTTTTTAACGATATTTTAATGGATATTATGAACTTTAAAAAAATGTATTCAAGAATGTAAGAGACCTAAAAGAATGGTGCTACGATATATTCAACTGTGCGCGATTATGGATGGTAAATCATCACAAACTTTGGTCTTTAATCACTACTAATAATTGTACATAACAAATATACATAGCACCAATTCAAAATTTATCTAAAGCACTACCAAGTGAGCAAATAAGGCAAATTTAACATTCCTGTAATAAAAAAGTTTTAAGATTTTTCTAAAGCAAATTAGGCAAATAGGCAAACTATATACTTACGACAGTGAATTTGAATTTTGTATAATTCAACTTGTAATTAAAATTAAACGTGAAGTTACTGTAGTATTCCTTATATTAAGATTAACAATTCAAGGTTATAATTAATTTCATATAGTCCGAGTGAGTTTTAACCTAGGCAACTCTTCCTAAAAAAGAACACTTTCTTTATCAAAAGGCTACTACGAATGGGATAACCTGTTTGAAGCACAAACTCCTGTAAACTAAACCCAGTTCCATTACAATTTTTATTTGCACTGGAAATCTACTCGTACTGAATATTGGGCATTCATAAACTTTCAATCCTGTATAGAATCTCATTGTTAAACTGTTGTAATATTGACTACTAAAAATAATAAAAGATTATATAGTATTGTATGATAGGCCTATATTTTGAAAATTCAGGGATGTAGTTATGGGGGAAGGAGAGGAGGTGGAGTCACCCAGCCTTGAAGTTTTCAATCCAGTTTAAACCTAATTTCATGGCTCTCCACCCACCCTTATTAACCCCACACTTCTATCCTTAAAATCCACTCATATTATTTAGAGTAGGGGTGGGCATAAAAATCAATTGGAGGGCCAAAGTAAATTTTCGATTTAACACAGAGTGACGAAAACTAGATTTGATGTTTCAAGTGTGCTTCCAAAAACCTTCATGCAGTGCTCAGTTTTAATACTACTTTTTACAGGTGATCAGTGTCGAGCCGTAAACGACTAGAGGTTTTCTATCACTTTGCCCACCACAATGCCGAATATTTCACAGTTACTTTCATCACGTTAACTTACTAGATAATCTAGGTCAGTTTTTGGGGCGGGGAATAAGGGGTGTCTGGCAGACACACCCCACCATCAGAATTGAATGACGGTAGCCATTCATAATAACTTGGACTACAATG